ATAATAATAATAATAAATGTAAATTCTTTCCTAGGAAGCTTTCAAAAGTTGAACCATTGCTATTTATTTTGTTTTTGGAAAATTGATTTATTGGGTCATTTCTTTCTTAATTAATGTTATCCCATTTCTTAGTCTTAGTCATGTTATCTGGGTGTGGTATATTTTCTTCTATTTTGTTTTTGAATATTGTTTTATTTTTGTTCCTTAGGAAAAAAAGTAATGATGATTAATAAATTTTAAGCATGTTACAGCATGTCTCCTTTGACTTTTCACTGAATCCCTCACATGAGAGTTGCTGGCCCCATAAAATATTTGCTTCCCATCCTACTACAGCCATTTCTCAATAGCTCCAGGTCAAATGTCAATCTAGACTGTGGCACCTAACCCCCTATAGAGCGTTGATACTGCTTTGAATGAAAGGCACTCAAAAACAAAGTGTTCCAAGCACATCACTTCAGATGCTATCAATTAGTGAGCTTCCAGTAAGCAAGCACATCTTTGTGCCTGTACATATTTTGTAGCTCTGAAAGCTCTTTACCTGACAGACAGAAACTATCCAAAGTATTCCAAACCAGTTAGTCTCATATTTTAGAGCCCACTGCAACATGCATACATCTTGAACCTGAAATTGCACTGTTGTAAATCTACAAGTTTTGACAGGTTACTATGCAGCTTTAGTGACACTGTACTTTGAACCAGCCACCACAGATCTAACTGTAGATTGTATAACGCCAAGCAACATGTTTTACACAATTTACAAATTACTGCTCTAGGATCAGTAGGGGGAACAGTAAAAAATTAAAGGTGATGACCTTTCTCCTAGCCTACAGTTTGGACAGCTCAGTAGAGGGAGTAACAGGGTAACAACATAGGCTTTCTGTAGGTGCCCTGCAGCAGCTTAGGCTGCTTTCTCACCTGTTTTTCTTTCACAGAACACTAACAACCCATATACTCCCCCACTCAGAGGCGAGCACTGAATTGTCCCTGAGGATCACTAGTAACGTCATAATTCCTGCTGGCAAAAATCCCTATCTCCTCCCAGCTTCCTGTTGACAAATTGTTACTTCACTGTCTGTTTTTTCCAGTCCTTAGGCTCTTGTGCGGCCCCAGGTGGCATACTGCTCTGTTCCCTCCTTTCCATCTAACCCACCAGGCTTCCCAATGCAGCACTACTACTGAATTCATGACCGGTTCGGTGAGTGACAGATTCTCTGGCCTTCCCTTCTTCTCCCACTCATTCTGCAGAAGGGAAAAGAGATTGTCTATAATATAAAATCAATTATTATGCACTTCTTTGGTCCACAACAGCTCCTTGTCCACAGTTAACCCACTGAAATAACAGATTCCCTGCATGTTGTTTCAAGATCGTTAGTTGTTTTTCCATGCAAAGCCTGTATCTCAGCATCCCAGCAGCTACCCTCTTCCCTGCAAAACTCTGTGTATATTAAGTCTGTGACACCAGCCACTTCATACAACTCACTGAAAGAGGAAAAACTAATATGATGAGGAAGAAGGGAATGAGAGACACATAATATGTGGCACATGGGAAGACTGAGAGGTGATAATGACAGGGACAGCAGAGGCCAAAACCAACCTAGAGTTTGGTGGCATAAGAAGAAAAAAAAAGAAAGAGAAGCAAAGGAATGGACAGACTTTAATCCTGGCATGGGGAGACAAGGAGGCAAAGAAACAATGAAGGGAAACATAAGCCAGGGCAAACCATGGAAGCACGCAGAACCTGTGGCTGAGGACGTACTGGAGATGCTGCCTTGGAGAAGGAAGGATTTGTATCGTAGATACAGTGATGGTGCTGGGAAAGAGCAAATGGGAACCCTCAATTCAAGAGAAGGAGAACAGGGACAACATGCTTTGGGCATGAAAGAGCAAGTGGAAGGACTTGCAGGGACTCACTGAAACAAGACATGGAGTAAGTGAAAAACAGAGCTGCAGTGGATGTAGTAGCCACAGTAGCCAGCCTTACAGGCTTCCTAAATTTTCCTTTACATAGGACCTGTCTTTGCTCTGAGTTATTGTTGACACAGACTGGGTAATAGCTCCAAAGCAAACCTTTCTAAAAACTGGGATGAATGAGATCAGTTATATCTCTCAAAAATAAATCACCAATTTTTTAAACCGTAGATAAATAATTAAGTCAATAAACAATTAGGTGGAAGAAAGTGATTGGCTTGGTAGCTCTTTGTTGACACAGGTCAGAATACTGTGCAGGTCACACTGAACTATACTAGTGTAGATAATTAATGTATATTACACCAACATTAACACTAGAGGGCTCTAGGCTCACAGTTTACAAGCCTATATGAAAAGGTTTTCTGTCAAAAAGGTTTCTTTCAAGGCACTTCAAAGTGAGCCACATAATAACTATTGCCTTACTTTCAAATAATTAAGATAAATTTTGCTCTTAACTTACTCTTGAATCTACAGGCATCCATTCCACATAACATACCAAGGCTCGTTTATATGTCACTTAATTTTTCTTTTT